CGACATGTCGTGGGTTAAACCCTATTTTTGTGCAAAAAATATGAGTACTTAACTAGGATGCGTACCTAAACGGGTGCGTACTTAATTGGGAGCATACTGTAGACAATTATGATTAATTATATGATGTGGATTATTGAAGCCCATCAACAAACTTTGATATGAAAAGATAAACCGTGGAAACAAAATTTATCAAACAAATATAATCAAGCAAATATGATCAAGCATATGTTTGTACCTCAATTCAAATTGTTTCAAAAATTAATCATACTATAAGAAAAATATTTATCAAATACACTACAATTTTAATCCAAAATTCATATAATAAACTAGATTAGTTCAACATATTGCACATCTTTTTTGTTAACGTTAACAATTTTTAATGTTAACATTAATGTTTGTTGATTAAGATTCTTTGAAATAACATTTTATTGTGAAATGTAAACCTTAATAAATGGATAAGATTCTCTTCATCTTATAGTAATTCTAAAACTACTCAAAAGTATACTTCTTGTCATTATAAATAATTAAATACTTCTTGTTTTGTTTAGTCTCGACTTGAAATTTCTAACTTCTAAAAAGTGAAAGTTTTAAAAAAACTTCTCACACTTCGCTATGTATATAATCAAATACTTCTTTGCAAGTTCCAACATTAAAGGTTTGACTATGATGCCTGCTCATAATACAACGTGTATAGAAATATAAGTCAACAATGTATTACCAACATACCTTAATGAATTGCATAAAATATATCTCTAGTATTATAAATTTTTTTTCATTCTTCTTGGATTAAAATCTAGAGTCACATTGGCTAAAAAAGTATAAGGATATTTGATCTTTACACAATAAACCTTCTTAGCGTGGCTATGCTTGACAAAACTTCAATATATCACCATCTTTCAGTCTAAAAAATTCCTTCTAGATTTAGATTCAAAATGTTTGCCATCCTCATCATTTACTTTAACATGATCAATTTGGAGTCACATTCAATGTCATACTCAAAAAAGAGTATGAAGAAAATGAAAACATAAATTTTTTTATGTTGTCTATTAACAAAAAAAATTACAACTTGATTGTAAGTGATTGTTTGACTCTCACGATGAAGCAACACACATTACATTGACTCTTAAAAGACAATCAATAAACTCAAGGATTGAATTTTTGTACTCCTATCACCAATATTTTTATACGTTTTAAGATTTTAGAGATCAACATCAAAAGCATCAAATGTGTCAATTTGATCTTGGATCTTTGTGTTAGATTTTTTTCATCTTGAAATTCATCAGCTTCAAGGAAGCATACAACATGTTTGAAAAATCTTTACAATCAAATCATTGCTCAAGAGAGTGAAATAACAGAGTATAATTGTCATATTTGAGTATGACAATTATACTTTGTTATTTCACTCCGTAAAAAAAAATTTTGACTCAATTTTTTATCTATATGCATAAACTTCAATTTGCCCTTCATTTATTTCTCCCATAGCATATACTCATGATGTCCATTTCACTTGATTATCTCATATGCTACTTTCTTTGATTTCCTGGTCACCATCTTGTTTTCTCAAATATGTGAGGGTTTGACTTTTGCTTCCTTGGATTTCTTCAATCTCTTGCTGTCACCTTCTGTGCATTCTCGTTAGTGAAACAAAGACTGCTGCAGACCTCCTCCAACTCTGTACAGCGCTCGGATTTCTTGGCTAAGTTCAATTGCAGCACTTCACATTCCATCTACTTCTCTTGAAGTTGGTCTTCTCGCTCCTGCAATGTCGCCTTTGCCGCTGCGCACTCGGTTGCCGAGCTTGCAACTTATTCCTTTGCCATTGCAGTCGCGAAATCTCACTCCCTCTTAATTGCTATCGCTCTCTTGAGCTTCATCATGTTCCTATTCAGCTCAACATATGATCCGGACTCCCTTCTCACAGTATACTTTTTCCTCTTCGTATCTAAATACTTCAGTAAAGGTACTACGTTATCCTGCAAGAAATCGGGGAATGAAATCTCCAATGTCTTCGGCCCTTCCTCAGAAGTTCTCGTCCTGATCTCGGATCTCACATCCTCCCAAGTGGTGGCGGCTCTGGATCTTCTTTGATGTTCTCCACAATCTCACCAACCTTTGCAACGATCTATTCGAGAATTGCCTCACTCAACGTGAGCTCCTTCGCTACTTCTTCGTCGGATTTTGGCTTAGGCACGTTCTCACTTCTCACGGACCACGTCTGCTCCAAAGACAAAAAAACTCGGACTAGCTATCTCTGTTCTCTCCTCCAAAGGTTCCACTGTTACGTCTGCTGGAACTTCAAATGTTATCGCCGAAGGTACTCCTGCCACCACTGGCTGTGTCGGCTTGTCAGTTGCCTCTTTGGTTGAGACATTGGTTGGAGCAACTGTCTTCTCCACACAGTTGTCTGAAGCTTCGGTCAACACCAAGCCTCGACTCGCCTGCTTCTTTAGCCTAGCTCAAGTTCTTGACTGCCAAACTCCCTCTATCTCTGTTTCCGCTTTTCGTGAATCTAGCATCAGGTCCTCTTCGTCATCATTCACCACCTTCCGCCTCTTCGCCGATCGCCGTTCTGGTCTCTCTCGTGTTGGCAAAATATCCACCTGCACAGGTCCACTTGCTGTCGTATGAGATGGAATGCAGGGTCGACTGTTATCCTCTTCCTCGGTCCCTTCACTGGACTCGATTGCTAACATTTCCCGCTCCTTCGGAAATCGCTTCTCCTTCTCCTTTGTAAGTAATCCCATGCCTCAATATAAGTTCACGAGGTAAGGAGTCAAGTGATTAGCCAAAGGTCATGCCCATCGGGAGCTCGCATTCACCCAGACAAGATCGTAGAAGATACTCGCCAAGTGCACCCGCTGTACCTTCATAACTCGCTCGAAGAATCCAACCTGCCAAGTCGTAATATAGGTCGTTCGGTGCTTTCGCAGGATATGCATAATGCCCAACGTAATCGCACGCATCTTTGGATCCTTATAGTCGGCGGTCTTCCTCCCATTCGTTCCCGATCTTCCGTTCTTGAAGAGTGGACCGAAGATGAACTCTTCCGCGCGAGTGATATTCACGCTACCTTTCTCGAACATGAGATCTCTGTCGCTTCCTGCACACGGCCCCATCACACTCGCTCAATGCTCAATTGTCCACAGCATTGGATTGCCTCGGAGGTCCTCACCATCATTCCGGTTCTTGTCCATAATCTCCTTGCAAATGCTCGCCGATATGCAGTTCCAATTCCATAGGAGTAAATCAAGATGCAATTCGCTGAGCTCGCGCCTAAAGGGTCGCAATTCCTCGTACGGCAACTTTAGCAGGACCAATTTCTGCACTTTGTCATTCGTCTTGTGCGGTACCATGTCTTCAATTTGCGTCGTCATTGATAACAATGTCTATCGATTTCTCTCTCTCACCTCGTTCGTTCCCGCTCAGCATCGCAATGTTGGCGCGAATGCTCCTGGTACTGCCCTTACCCTCGATGCCTTAGCGTTCTCTTCTCCCGCGCCCAGTTGTGTCCTCGACGCGTGCAAACGTTGTCCTGTCCTTTGCAAATTTCAAATTGATCTTTATGTCTTCGCCGAAGACCCAGCTATTGCATTCTCCAGAAAGGCTGCGCCGAAGGTCCGAAGATCTTCGGCGGAAGGCGAATTATAACTAAATCTCTCATAAGTCTTCTACCTCTATCACTTCTGACGTATATGTCTACATTCTACATCAATATGTTTAAGTTTTTGTTAATTTTTGAAGAAAAAAAAAACTAGGCACCACACAAACAACACAATATTTTTTAAAAGTCTCAATCGAATAGTATTGGAGAAGATGCCTAACATTAATTGAATCAATTTTGTTACCACATGAATATTGAGCTGAAGCTTTCAATACCTCAACCTATTTGATGAACATTTTTTTTCTAGTATAATCAATTTTTGATAATATTTGAACTAAAGTTCAAATGAATAACTAATTATAGTTGTTTGAGAACTTTTGGTTGTAAGGTTTTTATTCTAGTTATCAAAGAGAATAGTCACAAGTTGAATACTATATCCAAGAAGTGTTATTTTCTTGAATATACTAATGGTGTGAAAGACTATAGTTTTTGAGACTTCCTAGCTTGTAAAGTTATGAAAATAAATATGTTTTTTCAATGAATTCTATTTATTGAAACAATATTTTACTTGTGTTAACAAGTAAAAAATTCTCCTCACAAGGAAAAGTTTAGGTAAAGATGGAATAAAATCTTGAAGTTTCTTGTCAAATAATTATTTAAGTTATGGACGTTATTGTTTCCACAACATGGGTTAGGGGTAATTCGTAGGGATAAGGCTTGTAGATTGTGTGTTGGTTTTTCGTAACATCCGGGGGTAACTTTTGTTTTGATTTGGTTCTATATAACAAAGGTGGCAATAATTGACTAGTCTGTTGAGCATTATATTATAACCTATTTGAGTAAACTGGTGTGGTACTATGGAGTAGTTAGAGTGGAACCACTTTACTCATTGATGTCAAATCTGTGTGACTGAGAAATACTTAGGTTTCAAATCTCGGATGGAATGATTTTATGAAAAGCATTTTGCTTCTAGCAAGAATCCTTTCAGTCAATACCATAAACAACGTTCATATTGAATTTCCAATTAAGTCATTTACTCACTGACAAATTTCGGTTGTTTCAACAACATCACCTAGGTCTACAATGCTTTTAATTTCAAGAAACTTTTGATGTTCAAAGTCCCTCCAAACACATTATATCACAACAAGAACTTGAACCTTCATGCTTAATGGACGTCAAGTTTTTATTTAACCTTCTCCTCCTTCTCATAGTTTTTCATTTGAAAATGAATTACCATCTTAAATTCACATAAGTAGAATGACATATGAGATGTCTCACACATATATAAACATTTTAAATTGCATAGAGAATACTTTCAGATTCTTAAAAGATTCTGATACTTCAGAATCTCTTAAACACACTTTTGATCCATAATGGTGTGTTTCGTACGCAGCACGCTGCTGTTTGTCATACTGTCATACAAAGAGGCAAGGTGGCCTAGGAATTTAGATTCCGAAATCACAGGCTCTGCCCGACAAGTTCCTGAGCCCGTGCTATCAATCTGCAAATCGTCTCGGCAAGTGAAGACCAGTTTACGTACATTAGAAGGAAGCCGGGAACACTAGCAAATGTTTGATGGAAAATGCTCCAAATTGGGGGCATTCCTGCGTAATCCTGATTTTTGGTTCAAGAATTAGAAGGAATTTCAGGACCGAAGAGACGAATTGTTGCAGATTTGCAAAATGCCTGCCCTCCAGGTGCTAAACTTTCACCGTTCTTTGAATTGCACGGTTTAAAGAAGATTGTACATGCTCGTAGCTAAATTTCAACTATGTTCCATAAACGGCTTTGTTGACAAAGTGCACAGCTTGATCAATGTGGCTGGCTATGAAGTCTCAGCTGTCAGCTTCCAATTCCGCTTATTTTCAGATAGTGCTTTTCATACCTTCAGTTATTTGTTTCTTTTGGATTCGACCCAACAATGCAGAAAATGCAATGAAGAAGGCCGTTGAGTACATGCCAGGCTATATTATTTCAAGCACATGGAGAGAATGACTCTTTTGTTGTGATGCAGCTCCCACGATTGACCACGACTCTGAGGGTCTTCTTCGATGTGGATAACGAATACATTCGGCGCAAGCAAATTCTTGAAAGCAAAAGGGCTAGAAGGTTTTTTTTTTTTTTTCCAAATAAGTGAAGCTGAATTGATCCAGCATTGAATTATCAGGACTTGTCTTACAGTTGGAAGTAGAATTTCCGTATTGTCAAAAATCCGTACTGTCTCAAACAAAAATGTCGATTCAAGAGTACTTGAATCGACATTTTTGTTTGAGACAGTGTCCAGGGTTCTGTCGGTGAATCGTTTTTCTAGCACTCTGTATCAAATTACGTTTTTGAACCACGCTTACTCTACTTTTTGTGGAGAATGTTCTATATTATATTAGCTCCGGTACACTTTTTCTTGCTTTTCTGTCTGTCCCTGTCTTTCTGCGTGCATTGTACCACCTTAGATGTTGGCAGCATAGTAGGTGGAGAGGACATGGACGAAGCTTACATAAGCGTTTAGAATACTTAGAACTAGAAGAAAATTATAGCGATATCAGGGTTGGAAGTTTTTAGAACTTAAATGGGCTCGGCTTGTTCAGGATTGCCGTTTTGAACGGCTCATCGATTGGTGAATCTGATTTAGCTCGAAAAATAGTACCAGGATGGGACTCAGGTATGGCATCACCCGTTTATTGGAAGTGATATTTGATTGTAATCTGTTAGTGATTGGTTCGTTTATTTTTTACAAAGTGAATAAACTAATTCGGGCTAGTTTTCTTTGACTTAAATGACAGCACCCTCGTACATTCGACTCAAATATGAGCTGTTTTTAAAAGCGGTTGCGGAATTGGTGGACGGAGAGGTTTCAACTGAAGAGCTGCAACAGTCTGCTAGTATAGTTTACGACGCTTTGCATGACTTCGAAAAAGGAGAAACATTGCAAAACCCCAAAGCTTTAATCAGCCAGAAAAGGTAGATACGTGTTCTGGGGGACCTTTGAACTTATGTGTTCATATAGTATGTACATTTGAATGACTTTCCAGACTAAGATTTTCCCAATAGGTTTGATATTAGAAAGATTTCCAGAAAAAACTGAATCTCCCAATGTTCGAGACCAATTTCTATGTTCATATATGTCAGAGTGAGCTAGCTAGCTACATCTTCATTTTTTCATCTTAGATGTTGCTGAAGTCTGAATTGTTGAAATGATGGTAATCTCTTCTAAGCTCTCACATTTATCATATGTAAGACGCACCATGAAGTTCATCATTATGTATCGAAAGTTTTGCAAAGGAAGATTATTGACATTCTGAGATGTTGATCTCTAGGGAGGAACTTGCAGCAGTATTTGGACAAATTTTCTCAGATTCATCATTGGTAAAGGCCGCAGAACTTGCTCACGAATTGTATTTATGGAGAAGTAAGAGCTCATTGTTAGGTCTGGTAACAACAGACGTATCATCCTCAGGAAGAAAAGAAACTGCTGAATTCGGGGCAAATCTAGACTTTCGGGTTCCATCCGTTGAGGCCGAAACCGACGACCATGGCTGGGGCATTCTTACCACCAGCCAATTTGAGAAGCCAAATGAATGGCAAGAAATGTCAGAGCTTGCTCATGTCAGTGAAGAAAGAACAAATCAGCAAGAGGATGTCGGAGAGTATGGTGTTGCTGGACAAGAGCGCAGGGCGCAAGATGACCAAGGAGGAGCTGACTTGAGATGGTATAAAAGAATGTGTTATAAAGCTGCTGAAGCTGGAGCTGGAGCTCAGTTTTCTGGAGATGAGCTAGCTCTGGCTGTCGCTCGCGTTTTAGAATCTGACCGATCTGGAGACGAGGTACAGAAATAGGATCTTCGGAATCCCTTCTCCCAAATGGTTCAAAATTAAATGCAGGAGGTTGTACAAGAGTGGAGTTATTTTGTTTGTTGGTTCTGGTCTTGTGGATTTTGATTGATGCTATTTTGAACAGCTATCAATCTCTTGTCAGAGTTTACATGTCTTACAAGAGATAGTAAGGATCTTACATTATGGATCATCATGTGGTAAAGATCGCAGGAGATTTATTCGATCTCATCGGAGATGCTTGGTTTGATTTCATCCAAGAACTTTTACAGGTAAAACACCAAGTCAGATGCATAGATCTGCTTTTCTACCATAAGTTTTGAGTCTTACACTCGATAAATGGCTGCAATATGCTTTGCTCACCTGTTGGTTCCAAGCTCTTATAAGAAGGACCTCTTTGCTTTCTTCAAGACCCAGGAGCAGAGAGGATGCAAGTTATATACTTATAACACATCTGAACTTCTATCTCATTTTTCCACAATCTTTTAACTCGTTTCTCCGTAAATCATTGCAGCATCGGAAGGAGCTTGTTGATCTTATACAGAAAGGGTTGACAGCATTGAGATCAGAAAAAGCCCCAGCAGTTCAGGCTCGAATGCCCAGCTATGGAACACAAGTACGATCTTTTGCTAACTTATCGCAACCTAGAAATATGGTTTGAGTTTCCATCTCAGCGCTTCGGATATATTAGGTGCTGTAGGACATGAATACCATTGTTTTGCTATTGGGACCTAGCCCTGTGTTACCAGCTTTATTTCATCCATGTTTGACTTGAGTGGGTCTTATTTCATTTTTAACGTTTATAATTGAGGATCAAAGTCGAAGTGAGGACTCCTAACTTGTGTAAAGAGATGAAAGTTTGCGAAAATTATGAAGGAAACGAGGAGGATTTCAAGAAAGAGAGCTTTCTTCCCATTTGTGATTTCAATTCTTCTGATTTTCATGGTAGCATCTCGGTGGACTGCTGCAATATTTCTGCGTGATCATACTTACTATGATGAAAAGTTCCGTAATTTGGTTTCTATTTTGTGCTACATTCCAGTAAAAGTCGAAATTGATGGTTCTGTGCAGAATTTAATTGATTATTTACTCATTCTTTTTGTTCGTTTTGCCGTTTAGTAACCCGACATACTCGATAGATAGGCGCAAAATAACCAGGCATTAAGCGTTTCTCCCAGGTGAGTGTACAAACTGGGTCAGATCGGCAAATAGACAAACTCCGACGTAAGGAGGAAAAGCGCCAGGCTCGGCGTGGATTTGCTGCTGGCGGCGAGGGTGATTCCGATCTTGAGTGGTTGGCCGGGGTCGGTGGATTCGCTGCACTTATAGACTCCGGCGAAAGAAATGTTGGAGCGATTAATAGTCTCATTGGAAAAGGTGAAGATGTTTACGGCATATCTGGAACTGCTTTACCAACAGGATCAGTTCGAAAGTCTTTTAAAGGCTATGAGGAAGTGAAGGTTCCAGCAACACCAGGGGCTACGATAAAGCCTGACGAACGTTTGGTATGATACTTGAATCTATGTAGGCTCGATTGTGATACATACGCCTCCACTGTTGTATACAGTACAAGTTCTGCCTTTAATCATAGGGAAGAGAAGTTCTGCCTTATTAGAACGGCATATTAAGCCGCATGCTCTAATTTTTTCAGAACATCTGACAGTGAAGAAGTCATTTGTCACACGCAGATATTTTTCCCTCCCTTTCAACCACTATATTGGTTAAATAGCTAAATTGGAGGTGTCTTCATGACCACAGGCTCTGGATAGAGGAGATTTAGTATCATAGTGCAGAGATCTCCTTCTCATTTTATATGTCGACAATGTAGATCTGAATTATGAGGTTTGTTATTGTCATATGAAATTACATATATTTATTGCAGGTACCTATATCAGAGTTAGATGACTTCGCTCAGCTAGCATTCGAAGGCATCAAAACGCTGAATCGTATCCAAAGTCGTATATTCCCTACGGCATACAACAGCAACGAGAATCTACTTGTAAGATCGTAGTCTCCAGGATGTCGTCATCTTACGATAGGTAGTCAAGTGAGAAGTATTGATATCGAACTACCGCAACTGGATATGAGAACTATGATCGATTGTACATGAAGGAGCCTTTGTTTACAGTGGGTCGCAGCTTCTCATTACTTGTGGAGGAAGAAGTCTTTTTTTTCGTTTCACTCTCTATGGTGAACCGACTTTCTCCTCCATTGATGCCCGGGCATCTAAGTTGTTCAGTCTGCATGTAGGTTTGTGCACCAACAGGAGCTGGTAAAACAAACATCGCCATGATAGCTGTGCTGCACGAGGTAATACTTCTTTGTTAATTTATCTCAGCGCACATCGTTTTCCATCTTGTTGTCCATTTTGCAGAGCGTAGTGCTTACGATGCTTGTGCTAACTTTTAAGTTACGCTTGGTCTTTGTAGATCGGGCAACATTTCAAGTACGGTGTATTACAGAAAAGTGAATTTAAAGTCGTCTATGTGGCGCCCATGAAGGTCTGCCCCACATCTGACACCACGCCCCCGAGCTTGTCTGTGCCTTTCGTGAAAGTTTCGGATGAGACAACTTGGGCTTCAATTCTTGCAGAAATTCTCATCGTTTTCGTCGTAAACATCCTTGTACTCATCAGTTTGTGCACCTCTCACTATCCATTTTATCTTTACGTATGGTTTGAGTATGATTTTACAGGCACTTGCCGCAGAAATGACATCTGCATTTGGTCGGAGGCTTCAGCCATTAGGAGTTGTCGTGAAAGAACTTACTGGGGATATGCAGCTCACAAAGAGGGAACTTGAGGAAACACAGGTGAACTTCCTCATAGCTTGAGGATTTTTGGTGCTGAGCCCCTTCGCCATATTTCGAACTCCAAAATGACCTGAAATGAAATCCCTAGCGAGAATGAGTAGCGTACTCCCTGCCTCTTTAAGAGGGAAAGGTTTCTCAAGAGCCAAGTGTACTGACTTTTGATATATTGTCCGCAGATGATAGTTACAACACCCGAAAAGTGGGATGTCATTACCCGTAAAACGAGTGATATGGCACTGGCAGTACTCGTGAAGCTGCTCATCATCGATGAGGTCCACCTGCTGAACGATGATCGTGGGCCAGTTATCGAAACTTTAGTTGCTCGAACGCTGCGACAGGTTGAACTCACCATATTTGTGTCTAGACGAAAGCTTAATCCAAATTTTTAAGAACCACATGCTAGAATCAAAGCATACTTTTGAATAGCTCAAAAGTGCTTCTAACTATTAAAACAAGGGATAATGTGCAAGACAGCAACTTAGTCCGAGGTGAGAAATGTGAAAGTGAGAATGATTCTGATCTCACAAACATGAACAGCATACTCTTCATTCAGTGCTTGTAACGCTTTCTTGTACTTTCTACAGGTTGAGACCTCACAAAGTATGATACGAATTGTGGGACTATCTGCTACCCTCCCAAATTACTTGGAGGTGAGAACAGGAATAATATTTTACTAATGACCTCATTCTCTTTACGTTACTCTCGTTTAGCGAGCATCTTCTATTCTCGCAATGGTCAGATCCATTTTGTTTTCTAACTCCAGGTTTGACTACGAAATTGACATATATAGAGCACATGCTACACCTGTCCAAATCGTGTCGTCGCGTCAAATTGTTCGTCGCGTAGCTCGTTACTATTTACTTTAAGTGCTACCTCTGTTGGGGTCAAACAGATTAATCTGTAAACTTGGGGTCTCTCTCCGTTGAGTCTTGTAGACCTTCTTCTGTTTTTCAAGCCACAAGACAATATGTTTTAATCGACGCTCATGGGGAGCTAGTGACCTAATCTAATTGTCTTAGATTTGTAACGCAGATTGTAAACTGGCCCACAGTGGAGAGTTAACCCATCTCGGTGAGACAGATGTGTTTAGAACAATGTCTTTAGTGATACCGAAAGGAACAAACCTGGTGTTCTGTCGCTGCCGTCTTGTTACCAACATTTATAGAACATAATAGATATTGGAGGCTCCTTGTCAGTCAGTATATATATGAATTCATGCAAAGATTTTAATGCAAGTGGAGATGGAAGGAAGGGCCCATACGCATCAAATGTCATAACTGTGTTATAAAGCTTGCAATCAAGTGCTTTTCTAGAAATATATACTTTTCCCTTTTCAGGTACTTTTATCTTGATTTGGTTTAAGTGGGAAAAATTTCAATGGTCTTTGTTGCCTTACTTGCGTCAGGTTGCACAATTCCTGCATGTGAATCCGGATTCGGGCCTGTTTTACTTTGATGCCAGCTATCGACCGGTACCCCTATCTCAGCAGTATATTGGAGTTACTGAGCCCAGATTCACTGCCAGGAATACTCTTATGAATGAGATTTGCTACAACAAGGTAGAAGACGACTTAAGTTCAGAAGCGTCGCTGTTACACAAGTCCGATGGAATTTATTGTGCACAATGCATGTGGATGTTGTTGTTATTTACGTTAGATGTTCTATCGACTTTCTGCATGCTCTATGTCCACCAGTATCATGAAGTTCAGATATTTTATTTTTTCAACAATGCTACAATTATAGAATTTTCTGCAAATAACTTACACTGTATTACAATAGTGTTTGCTCAATATAATCTTGTTCGTCGAGCAGGTGTTGGATGCCATCAAAAGAGACCAGCAAGCTATGGTTTTCGTTCATTCACGCAAAGATACTGTGAAAACAGCTCGTATACTGGTAAGTAAAATGTGGTTGTTGGGACAAAGTTGTTGGCCATATCATGTTTTGTGGATGTAAGCTGTAAGACTTGGTTTTGATTCGTGTTTGATTGTCCAACTGCACAGTACAAGGCTTGTGCATTGCTTAGACGATGAGAACTCACTAGTTTTTATACAGGTGGAATTGGCACAGAAGAATGGACATCTTGGATTCTTTACAAATGTTGAACATCCACAATATGGGTTGATGAAGGTTAGATCTAAGTCCAATTCACCTGAGCTATTGTCTTCATTTCACTGATGAACGTGTTGGAACCTCACACTAAACTTAAAATTGATATGTTGACACTCTTGGAATGGTGATATGCTCATGGTAATAGAGTGTTGTGCTATAGATACACAAGGCACTGCCTTCAAAAGTTTTGGACGAATTCTTCTCACCCGAATACATCTGCTGCTCAGTATAGAACATCTAAAGTCTATCCATGTAGCCTTCTTATGAGCACCAGGTTATCCCTGTTTCAATTTGGATGTCTGGCCTTGGCTAACGCTTGAGTTTTCTGTAAATGTTTCAAGGGTGCAAAATCGTCGCTTTAGGCTTTTCTTTAAGAAGTAAGCTTTGATTGACCTACAAACATAATACTCATTACAGAAGGAAATGTCGAAGTCAAGGAATCGGGAGCTCGCAGAACTTTTCCAGTCTTGTTTCGGAGTACACCATGCTGGCATGCTACGGTCTGATCGGAACTTTGTTGAACGTGCCTTCCACGATGGTCTTCTCAAGGTTTTCATTCTTTCATTTTCTCCATCTGTTTCTGTCATGGATTAACGGACTCGTACTGGTTATAATGCTTCACATGGCATTACGTCTTCGTGACTACTTTGAGAGAAAGCTTCGGTAACGATTCGGTTGACTAGACGCAATTATAATCGCTTGCTATAATATAGCTAATTTGATACGAGGTGCTCGTAGGGTACGAGAATAATTGTTGCCATTATCGTCTACTCGTGTGTCTTCCCACCACATGGTCTACCCGCTGGCAGGCCAGCAAAAGCTATAATACTTTATCTTTGGAGGAGTCAGGAGCAGGGATGCATGAAGTGCATATTGAGTTATTCAGCATAATACGTTGTTGATTCCCCAATTGATGAAACAAACTGTCACTATGACGTTGTTGTACTCCAGATACTGTTAACTTTTTAATTTTTAAGAAGCCAATTGTTTTGAACAGTGATGAGGTATATCATGCATTGAGCGCAAATCTGTCCATGTATTTGCCCAACAATTAGCTTATATTGTCCATTAAAAGGGGGGGGGGGGGGGGGGTGCAAATGGCTTACACGGTCCATAATAAGTGGTGATTCGGCTAATTTTGACTTACTTAAACTTTGATAACATAAACATTAAGTTTACACATGTTCACAGGTTCTTGTTTGTACCGCGACGTTGGCATGGGGAGTGAATCTGCCCGCTCATATGGTCGTTATCAAGGTGAGCTCTTGGGCTTATAGATGTATGTACTTTACATTATTGCCTCTGATTAGCACCACAAAAGTTAATCAAACACTGTTAAATCTAGTAATCTTTTGAGCTGGTTTTCAAAGCCAGGGTCTGGTGAACGTGGTGGTCTTGTTTCTTTCTTTGTACTTATGAAAGTCGAGGCAGTTAACGTCAGCCTTCTGTTGTCCGTATTTTACCTCAAGTCCTGCGTGTAATTCTCTTGTCCTGTTCATCGTTATCTGTGTGCAGGGGACGCAATTGTATGATCCAAAGGCTGGAGGTTTTAGAGAGTTGGGAATGCTTGACGTAATGCAGGTGAGATATGCAAGTTTTTCAACCACATGAAGGTTGCATTTAGACTAATCGCGTGTGTTATTTATAATCATTTGACTGGTTGATAGGAAGTCTTGAAGTCTCATTGGAATTTGTTTCTTGACACAGATTTTTGGTCGTGCTGGACGACCTCAATTTGACACAAGCGGTGAGGGTATAATCATAACAACCCACGACAAGCTATCGCATTATTTGCGCCTAATGACTCATCAGCTGCCCATTGAAAGCCAGGTGCACAACTCCATACAAAGAGAACTTTTTCAAAGCTGCCTACTGGGGAGTTGATTCTGTTTTGTATGAAGGTGCCTGGAAAATTTTTATGTCACTTCATGACAATTGCATGCGACTTTCCAAAGAGGTTATCAAATGATCTGTCGTATAATTTGACTTCCATTTCGACTATCAAGTGCATCTATTGAGTCAGATATTCAAACTGAAGGGGGACAATTTGATGAAATCTGAGGTCCTATACCAAAGTTCGCCAACTAATCTCTTACATATGATCTGCTTGCAGTTTATAAGCTCCCTCAAAGACAATCTAAATGCAGAAGTTGTGCTCGGCTCGGTAACCAATGTTCGTGAAGCATGTATATGGTTAGGCTACACTTATCTGTTTGTGCGCATGTCCTCCAATCCGCTTGTGTATGGTATGACATGGGAAGAGGTAAGTAGTCCCTTTGATCAGCATTCAATATAATCTAATTGTAGATCCAGTAGCAGAGAACTACAGATCAGAATTCATGACGTTAGAGCATTTCTCAACCTCCAGGAAAGCATTGTTTGATGACTGCGCGAATAGCCCATATCTACGACTTTCTATTTAGTTTCGTGTTGATGTTGATAGAGGAGCACGAAGAAGACCGGGGGTTGGAGTGGCTAGAAGTGGCCTTCTGTTTGAACTCCTACAAACTCTGAATTATACTGCTGTGGTATATGAGGCAGGTTCTCATGGATCCGCAGTTGAATGCAAAGAGGAAGTCTCTTATCACAGATGCGGCACGATCTTTGGACAAGGCCAAGATGTTGCGGTTTGATGAAAAGAGTGGGAATCTATATGCCGTAGACCTGGGTCGTGTTGCAAGTCATTTCTACATACAGTATAGGAGTGTGGAGACATATAATGACATGCTCAAACGACACATGAACGACAGCGAGGTATATATATGACAATCTTCCCTCCTTCATTTTCTTCAATCTAACCACTTTGACGTCAAGCACTTCTAGCTTCACTCGCTGTCAACTTTGCTACTCTCTGCCTGCTCGCATACTCGTTGGTTTGCGAGGAACTTATTGAAGATGCTAATCGTTCTTAGCTGTCATGGAGATCCCTTCCCCTTAAGGCTTGCTTCTGGTTGCTTGGGTTTCTCTTAACAGGTGATTCATTTGTTAGCTCATTCATCGGAGTTTGAGAACATAGTTGTCAGAGAAGAGGAACAACAAGAATTGGCAAACTTGGTGAACAGTTCTTGTCCTTTGGAAGTCCGTGGAGGGCCAGATGACAAGTATGGGAAGATTAATATTTTAATTCAGGTACATACTAGCACTTTAATCAAGTACTGCAGGGCGGTCATATATACTTGGAGATGTCTCACAAGTTTTCAAAAAGTTCGGATCACAGAATGATCATGACGTTCGGAGAGGTTACGTTTCGCAGGTTTATATTTCACGTGGTTATCTGGAGGGATTCTCTTTGATTGCGGACAGTGCTTATATAAATGCCAGCTTGGGCCGCATTATGCGTGCTCTCTTTGAAATCTGTATTCGCCGAGGTTGGTGCTCAATGGCAGCTTTATTGCTGGAATATTGCAAGGCTGTCGATCGCCGGGTTTGGCCTCATCAACATCCTCTACGCCAGTTTGACGCGATACTATCCCAAGAAGTAAGAATATATCATACACAATGGAAATATAACTTTTAGCTGATACCAACCAATGAGGAAGCTGTAAAGCCATGCACATGTTGGTGTTATAATGGTGTAACGGAGTTCATTTGGTGCCAGGGTGGTCTGTCAATCATTAGTTCATGTCTGTAGCATTCTGCTTATGAATGTCAATGCAGATCTTGCATAAACTGGAAGACAGAGGAGCTGAAATGGATCGGTTGTATGACATGGATGAGAAAGAGATTGGTGCGTTGATACGCCATCCATACGGCGGGAAGGTAAGTTCCGACTCTGAGAAGATGTCTGAACATCACTTGCGACATTAAGAAGTACTCAGTGAGTCGATGCCAAATTTCATGAATGGTGTGATCAATACCCCATCAGCTAATCACTGCACATCGCTTGCGTCTAAAGGACTGCTATTTCCTTAGTTGGCGATCCTCTGTTTGTGGGGTTGGCTTTAGACTGAGCTCAATTATATTCTGCACAATAAAACTGATGTATTGCGAACAAATCACAAAGAGAAAATTTCGTACAGGTTGCCCCTGTTTGTTCACTTTTTAGAGGTGGTGCAGAATCCTTCGTTGCGATTTCGTATGACCTAGATCTAGAATAGTTTTTTTCCTTGTAGTTCTGTTTTTTTGAATTGAACCGAAACGACACTTGCAGGAGCTGGTAAGGAGAGAATTTTGCTGAACATTATTATTAGCTAGACCATGATTGTAATCTATCCTGCTATATTTGGTCTACTACTGATTTTTCGGATGAAATTCAATTTTGCAGCTAGTATACCAATGTTTACAAAACTTCCCGCGAATACATCTAGCTGCTGATATAAGCCCAATTACGCGCACCGTTTTACGGGTACAGTCTCCCATAAACTAAGTACATGAAATGGTTGAAGTTAACGGGAATCCATCATCCGACGCAAAAGTGAACTAGTGCCTGCAAGAAGTTGTACAGCTCACATAGTTCAGACATGATTGTCTTCGTAGCTCATATCAAGTATTGATCTCTGAGGGTAAGAGCTTGAGGAGTTAGTAATTTTGGGTGACAGCACAGAGCATCCAGCACAGTGAGTCCTTTCACACTATTTATCAGGATCGTTTCCGAAGTTTGTAGTATACGATGGATGATCATACCGCAAATACGTGGACTCAATATGCACAGGTGGCTTTGACAATATCTCCTGAATTTTTATGGAAGGACCGGGTGCATGGTGCTTCGGAGAGCTGGCATATCTGGGTTGAGGTAAATGACTCTTTTTTCATCTTGACAGAAAAGCTGCGGAGCATAAATCCTGTAATTGACTTGAAGCTTTTGAATCTTTCCGAATCGAAAAATGCACATCACCTCTTTTCAGTGCACTTGTTTCGCAATTACACATGTTCAAGTTCTCATTTCTCTTCTTTGAACATGTTCTGCGATTCAGGATTCTGAGAACGAACACATATATCACTCCGAGCTGTTTGTGTTGACAAAGAAGATGATGGCGGAAGGGAGTCATACCATATCATTCACCATTCCTATCTTTGAGCCTCTACCATCTCAATATTACATTCGTGCTGTTTCTGATACTTGGATGCAAGCAAGTACAGTCCACACAGTCTCCTTCAAGCACCTTATACTCCCGGAGGTAAAGCTTACACCTCGTTTGGGCCGTCAAAAGTACTCTCTCTTGAGCTATGACGCTATTTAAGTTATTGTGACAAATAATTACATGCTGTAGCATACAAGACTGTTCTCTGCAGCATGTAAGACACACCATACAAGACGCATCGTAATTTGGAACAAATTTGGAGTTCCTCATAGCTCTGCATATGGTGCTGGAGGTAGTGGCTGTATTCCTTGAACATTTTCATGCCAGAAATTGACGAATTTTGTGGCTCTTTTTATCTCCACCAAACATAGCTCCATCCTCCGCACACGGAATTGCTTGATCTAAGACCTCTGCCGGTCACTGCTCTTGGGAATAAGGTGTATGAGAGTCTGTACAGCAGATTCTCGCATTTCAATCCCATTCAGACTCAGGTTAGTAAGGTTCTTGCCCTTCACTTTCAGCAAGAAATATTTACATTGAGGGTCGCGGCAACTTTATGGTTGAGGCTGAGTTGCGTGCAATCAATCAATCAATCATCAATGGGTTGATTAGGGTGTCTTCCGTTGGTACAATTTGGGAAATAGAAGGACACGGGAATGGAAAACAGTAATTTAGGTTGATAGCCAGGTGAGACATAATTATTGTAATTCGGTCATCCTCTGCAGGCATTTCATACCCTTTATCATACAGACTTCAACGTTCTACTTGGTGCCCCAACCGGAAGTGGAAAAACCATTTCCTCGGAACTTGCAATGCTGCATCTGTTTAATACTCAGCCAGACATGAAGGTAAGATTTGAGAAATAGCCGTTGGGTGGAACCCTTTGTCGCATGATCCAACTTCAGTCGGAAGGGCATTCTCCTTTATCACTCTGTTTGATTGGTTCTCACTCTGAAGGAGTCGTCTGTTCAGTTTATTTAGAAAGTCGCACATTGTATCGTAAGGCTTCGACTGACGAAATATAAAATTGTCCGATCTAAAAATTTCATGTGCTGTGTTAATTTATGTCGTAGGTTATTTACATAGCTCCTTTGAAGGCACTTGTTAAAGAGAGGATGGACGATTGGAAGCGCGGGCTCGCAACAACGTTGGGCAAGAAAATTGTGAGTTTTCCAGCCCCATGTTGTCTTTCACAGGCACGTTTGTTGTTAGTTTCATGAAAAAAAAAAACAAAAACTATACATCGTCGTGATGAGAGCAAGCGTTCGTCCATACTACTGGCTGATGTTTTGTTTTGTTTTGCCATCGACAGGTTGAACTTACAGGAGACTTTACCCCTGATTTGCTGGCACTTCTAGCCGCTGATATTATTATCTCAACTCCAGAGAAGTGGGATGGTATTAGTCGGAATTGGCACAACAGAAACTACGTGACCAAGGTGGCTGTCTCATCTTGTGTGTTTATTTTCGTACATATATTCGCTGAAAATATTTAGGTGCGTCTGTAGAAACAAATGGATTGTTTGCCCAGCCTAATTTACAGAATCTGATGGCTGATGTATACGGATGGTTTAGGTTGAACGTCTGCGACGTTTATCTTTTAGGTTTTTTTGATGTGTTGTATCGTGAATTAAAATTATGTGCAATGTGGTTTACGTCTGGCTGACTTTAATGTTTGGCGACACTACGTGCGTGTGAAACGTCATGGTAGAATGCGCTTTTGAAAATTCTGTGGCACATTACGAGGAGCTCACTCTTAGTGAATTTTTGTGAACTTTTGCATCTTAGTAGTATTTACGAAGATCTGTGAGTGTTGACTGAGAGTGTGCGTAGAGAGTGTAGGCAGAAGACAAAGTATGTGAGTCCACATGGCTTATGTAATCGGGTTTCTCATCTTCTGCTTTGTAGTATGAGTAAATTTAGTGAGTTTTCTTTGCCATCATTTTTCCCTTGTAAGAGTGCTAGAGTGTGAAGAGATTTAAATGACAACTCCGCGGAAAATGCTTCAAAATCTATCAGTAAGCATCTCTTATCCACTATGTTAAGTAGCTTCTAATCTCAGCTGACTTGTAGGTCGGACTGATTATCATTGATGAAATTCATCTTCTTGGAGCTGATCGGGGTCCCATCCTTGAGGTTGGTCAATCTCTTTTCTCTTTTGACTTCTTTCTTGTCAGAATTTGAGATAAAGGCGATAAAGGCGATAAAGGCGTTTTTTGGGCTTTATATCCAAAGGAACATCTTCTTCGAGTCCTGACGCTTTAGGGAGCTAAAATTGAAGGGGTTGGAAGATACCTAACTGTTTGTAAATACAGTGTTTCTTGTTATCGTGTATCCTATTCACCCTTTTGCTTCTTGTCCATTGCTATGAAAGATTTTTGGAATTCAACTAGTCGTTTTGTCATCATAAGCTCCGTAATTAATAATAATGATACATTCTGTTTCGGATCAGTATCTCCTTTAGACGTAGTGAGTTATTCATTACATACAAACATCCCAAAGTAACATAAGCATTCAACCATTGAGTTTTTTAAATAATGCATTAAAGTTCGAAGATAATTTAAAGATTTTTTCTCAACTGCATTTTCCTATGCCATCTTACAAAGATATCTTTGAGTATGCAAACAACTAATTTTCTCGTACTAGTTTACAAACTAAACCGATATCTATGTTGATCAATTTTACTCACCACATATTGGAATTTATACCCTAGTTATTTCTGCGCACCTGGGCTTCAAAGTCTTGCAGTTCACAAGTTCAAAACCATGTTTTTGAGATGATGGAACAAGTTTTGGAGGCAATTCTAGACTTGTGCTTATCTACTCCGTTACATCACGGGTTGATCTTTGTAGGTAATTGTTTCGCGAATGAGATATATCTCGTCACAAACAGAATTACCTGTCCGATTTGTTGGCTTATCAACTGCGCTTGCAAATGCACGGTAATCATCTTTTTGCTTCTGTGATCTATAGCCACATTCTTGTGAATCTTGGTCTATCATTTATTCTGCATATGTGAGGTTTCAAGATATAAACAACTCCTTCGAACATATGATTGATGTTTAATTTGTTGATCGAGAAAACCTCTTAGAAGTGGTAGCAAAGTGATCGTATCACCTGTAAATTTTTTAGCGTGTCAATTCAGTTATTCTAATTGGCTCCAGAGAGTTGAGTAATATAGAAGAGATTGTGCAGAATGTGAATCAATCAAATATATTTTGGACGTGTGCAGGGATCTGGCGGACTGGCTTGGAATTGATACGGTTGGTCTATTCAATTTCAAGCCAAGTGTCCGGCCAGTACCTCTTGAAGTTCATATTCAGGTAATTTTTTCTGAAGAGCGGAACGCTGTATTTAAAAAATATTTTTTTAGGTTTGTGTTCTTCTCTGTAGTTTCATGGATCAGGTCAGGAGTTATTATGTGGACCATCCATACAGATTGTATTATAAGGCCAAGACTGAATCTATTCTATTTGAAACTTCAGGGTTACCCTGGAAAATTTTATTGTCCGCGGATGAACAGCATGAACAAGCCCACGTACGCTGCAATAACTACCCATTCGCCGTTTAAACCAGTACTCGTTTTCGTATCTTCTCGTCGGCAGACCCGGCTTACCGCTCTTGATCTTATTCAGGTAACACTATTATCATAAGCCTTTATCTGAGAAGCATCTTGCACAGATAAATGTATTCTAGAGTCACTTCAGGAGTTGACTCATATTTATATTTTGTTGTCAAATATATGAGCAGTGGTGCTCAGCATATCATGGCAAGACTTTTCTGTCTTATGATTGCTCTATTTTGCTCCTTCTTTGGCAGTATGCCACGGCTGATGAGCGCCCACGACAGTTTTCAAACTTATCCGAGGACGAGATGGAGATGATATTGTCTCAGGTTGTAGACACCAACTTGAAACACACTCTTCAATTTGGTATCGGCCTGCACCATGCAGGTCTCAATGAAAGAGACAGGACTTTGGTTGAGGAACTATTTACCAATGTCAAAATTCAGGTGAGTATTTGACGAGCGTGAGCAACTTCTTTCACAGTCATTCCTTCATGATGCATGAGAAAATCTTGACGACTACAGAATTTGGCCACTATATTTTATGTCCTGTAATATCAACGGTAGCGCTTCACAATGAAGCAAATGTGGGGATGCTTTGTTCTTTCACATCAGCTAAAGCCTTGTCTTCATTTCATCGAGTTCATGTAGTGGGAGATATTGTTAGTCGTAGCTTTTTCCCTAGTTCGATGTCAATGAGAAGGTAGTCATGTCCTTAGTTCATTATCATTATTTTAGAACGATAATATTCACACTTCATGGATGTGCAGGTGCTAGTGTGCACAAGTACTCTCGCTTGGGGTGTGAACTTACCAGCACATTTAGTAGTCATTAAGGTTCGTATATCAAGAGCACAAATTTGCAGTTTTACTGGCTTACGCATGAACTATCATAGTTGCAGGTTCCTATGAAAAGCATTTCCAGACGTTTTAACGGACACAAATTATTTTGGGACTTCCCGCTTTCTCCAACAGGGAACAGAGTTTTTCGATGGAAAGCAAAAGAGATATGTAGATTTTCCTATCACAGATGTGCTGCAGATGATGGGAAGGGCAGGTCGTCCCCAGTACGATCAACATGGAAAAGCAATTATTCTCGTGCACGAACCAAAGAAGAGTTTTTATAAGAAGGTATGATAGTGCTGATCAAGTGCAGACGACAAAGAGTTCCGACTAGAAGATCAGGACAAATGATGTCTGTCTTTGTAAGGCTTTGTACATTATCTAAATCCCAGAGTCAACTTGTTGTAATTGGTGCAGTTTCTTTATGAACCCTTTCCAGTGGAAAGTAGTCTGGCCCAACATCTTCACAACCACTTCAATGCTGAGGTTGTATCTGGGACGATCGCCAGCAAGCAGGATGCTGTGGATTACTTAACGTGGACTTACCTTTTCCGCCGTTTGGTAAGCTGCCCGCTCTCATTCCTAAAGCTAATTTTAATTTGTCGCAACCGAAATAGGAAACGATGTGTTTTCTTACGATTCCAACCGTCTGCACTCGGGCCGTCGCTGAACGTGGGCTATCCTTAAGTCTGTAATCTCCAAATGATGGCAGGTAATGAACCCCAGCTACTATAACTTGGAAGATACAAGCAGTGAAACGATCAACTCCTACCTCTCCAGGTGAATACATATCAGTTATTACTCTTCTTTCAATGTGCATAATGGTATGAGCATCGCGTATCTGTGTGTTTAATAGTTAAGCTCTAGAAGTTTTTCTCATCTCCTAGAGTGAGTTCATTATAGGAATGATAATGTTCAGGTCGTCTTGGTTTCTCATACTCAACGACTGGGTTTCAGCATGGTGACGACCACATTACAAGCTCTTGAAGATTCCGGATGTATACGTGTAAATGAAGACAATACAGTGGAGCCTTTGATGCTAGGGATGATTGCTTCTCAGTACTACTTGAACTACACAACGGTGGCACTTTTCAGTTCAAACCTGAAAATCGACACATCCCCGGAGGTACGACGTGGTGGAGAACATCGATAAATTGCGGAGTCCAGCGTGAAACTCTACTTCGGATTTGAATCTTTTGAGGATAGACTTTTGTCCATCACAAGCTTCATGAGGCAGCGCATGCAGTAATACACCCATACTAGAGCATAAATGACAAGGATTTGTTCTGCGTGCAGACTCTGTTACACGTTCTCTCTGGTGCCGCTGAGTACGACGAATTGCCTGTCCGCCACAATGAGGTAGCAGTCTAACTTCCACCGGTGTCCTCCTTGATACCAAGCTTAAGCACAGATGTGGCTTAAGCTTGTAATCAAGGAGGATCACATCATACGATTTGAGGTAGAAAGAAGAAAGCTTGTGTTGCAGATTTTGTTGTTTCGTTACTCGTAATCTCGACTCGTAATTTCGCTACACGCTCAAGACATTGACGACATGTCTTGAGCGTGGTGGACCCGTGTAACTGTACGTTGTTGAGAACATCTGCTGGGTCATGTGTAAGTTCCAGATTGCCTTTTTTTTCTCAGGCTTAAGCATCTCTCTCTTATAGTTTCTCTGAAACGAAGAGTTTCAACTTATCCAAAGGTAGGGCAATATTATCAAGGACAAGCTGACCTGCAGACTGACTCGGCTCCTTCTAGAATGCTCACTGCGGCAATTCGTTTTTTTGTGCAGGAAAATTTCAATGAAGGTCTTGCGGAACACGTTAGGTACGCCGTGGACAATCGCTTGCTCGATGATCCCCACGTGAAGACAAACTTACTTCTTCAGGTAATGAACAGCATGCTAACTTTTTCTCGGATAGTTCACCCTTTTTCTCTTAGTTATCTCGTGTATCGATGTCGTACCTAGGTGTTAATAAGGTCAGTAATTTGTAGTCTACCAAAAGTCTTTCAGCCAGAAATTCTAAGGCAGTATATTCTGATTTTACAATTTAAAATTCTAACCAGCTGTTCTCTTGGGTCGTATCGCAGGCCCATTTTACCAGACTTGAGCTTCCAATCAGTGATTACATAACTGATACCAAATCCGTACTGGATCAGAGTATCCGTATATTGCAAGCTATGGTCGATGTATCAGCCAACAGTGGGTGGCTCCAGACCTCACTTAACACCATGCACCTTTTACAAATGGTGATGCAGGTGGGTACCACAAAAGTATAATCTTCCGAGATCATTGCCAATTTTCCTCTGGCGACATTAACGTTTCGTTGCAATGATTTTACATTTTGAAGTTTGGAACTGTTGAAATGGGCACAGATTCGTTACGCAGATGTTTCCTCGTGTTATGCTGTCCAATTTAAGCTGTATAGTAGCATCGCTATAAGCTGACGTGTTTTCTGTTAATCTTGCCGAATACGAGAGGAATTCCTCATCACGTAACCTCTTCGTGGCAGTGCTGATAAGAAGACACTTTTCCCTGTAAAGTTCATGTATAACTTGCCAAGTAACCCGCAATATTTTTCTGCTCAGGGCCTTTGGGATGATGTGTCCCCACTGTTAATGCTACCACACGTGGACGAAGTAGTTATGAAAACTCTTGCGCAAAGAGGAATCACTACGTTGCCGAAACTTCTGTCATCTTCAGCAGATTTTATAAGGAAAACTCTCAGTTCTGTTCTCTCACAGTCTGAGCTGACAAAGCTAGTCCTGGTACGTGGGCATTCAATCCACGTTTGGTGATTCGACGAGGAACAATGTTTGAGCGTTTGTTTGAAGTAATCGATTCTTTTTACTTTTATGGGATAGGGTGAGACCGGTCTGGCCGTAACCCTACTTTCAAGTTTTGCATCTATAGTTGTAAGTTAAGTTAAAGCTAAGGACGATCGGCGATCTCCAAAGAAAAGAATCTTCAAATTTCCTTTTTTTTGTTAACTCGTGGGGTGATCTTTTGTAAAGCATTCGAAACTCACTTGATGCTATGTAGCTGTCCTTGGCTTACATCTGCGACTTCGGTAATGGACTCTTGACATAGTGAAACTCTATCACTTCGTGTTCTTCCTCGTATCATGTTTTGACGTAGATTTTTGAGCCTAGATGCCCACTTGTGAAGTTGAACTACGGGATACTTCTGTGACTGGATCAGGTCTGGTCTCGACTTCCTCGAGTTGATGTGAAGTGGAGAGTAGTCAGAAGACCTGGGCCATCCGAAAGCTCACTGCAAGTTGAAGTGCGATTGGTGAGAAGGACCCAGTCTGCAGGTTCAAGTGCTAGGGCATACGTTCCTCGCTTTCCTAAGGTAAACTCCCCAAGTCCTTTTGAGTGCCCAGCTGTCGGGGAGGGAATGTTTCCAACCTTGAAATCGCAGGATTCTGTTGGGGCCACAATAGGAAAGCAGCAAATCCTTTAATCTGTTGGTGTACATTCTCGACCGACCGCAACAATATTCTTAACCGACTTAGTTGCTTAGAGATCAACCGTGGGACTTGCAAGTGACCTGGCATGTGAATTACCACCTCAAGTCAAGGACATCGTCTTCGTTTTTTTGATGATAAATCTCCTGTATGAATCAAATATTCGCAGGTGAAAGAGGAAGGCTGGTGGTTGATACTTGGGAGCCCACAATCATCAGAGCTACATGCTTTGAAGAGAATTAGTTTTGTTGACCACTTGACGACGAACTTGACGATACCATTGGCGTCTCAGGTGCCTTCTGCCCCTAATTTGAAAAATTCTCTGGAGTATTATCTTTCAAGCTCGTTTTGTTCAGTTCGATTATGGCATCTTAACGTTATTATAACGATCATGGCGTATGCCTCTTTATGAAATTCACAAGGATTGACGTAAGTGCTTGAGAGGTTCTTCCTTTGCAGGAGATATATTTGTTCCTCGTTTCAGATTGCTACCTGGGCTTCGACCAGCAGTTTCAGCTGGGAAACATTGTTAACTCAACTTCAAATGATGCATAAATAGAGCGAACAACCCCTTTTCTGATAAGGTCTATTATTTGAGGTTGATTATGCTAACGAGATCTCTCGTCAAAGGCCTGCACGGAGTTGAGAGAGTTATTCAAGTCGATATCGGTAAGTCTGTAAGATCTTAATCCGCTTTCTCCTCCGAGGAGAAGAACAGTAGTAACAGGATGTGATCAGGGGTGTATTTATCTCAAAACTTACTTCAGTATACCATTTTCGCAGTGAAGGTCATTGTCAAGAAGGGTGTTGCAATGAACGAGTGCCTAAATAGATACTCTTGAAACATGTTTCGAAGTGACAGAATTCAAAACCGTTGCAGTACCTCATTGTAGTAAATCTGTGGAGTACCTTTAGATATAATATCGTGTGATGGATGCTAGGTGTATACCGTGGCACACAAGTGAAGATGTTAAAGATGCATGTCTCGCAAATTTGAATTGCAAATGTGTAATATCGGAATTTTCTGTTACACTGGCAGATAACGGATGAGAACGTCGAAGCTTCCATCAACATTACAAGATTTTTTCTACAAAAGACTTCTTGAGCCTCTCTAGCGATCATGAAACCGAAATTCTGGATAAGTTTTACCTGCTCACTACTCTCGGATGTGGTGCAACATCCTTAAATGCTTTTTCTGTTATCCAGGTCAAAGTCAAAGCTTTTGTTTCAACAGACAACCTCTAAGAGAACAATGTAACATATTTGAATTGCCTTTTTTCAAAATCAAATGTCTACTTGAATTTCAAAAATTTTCAAAATGTTCTAGTTCAAACACCTAGTTGTTGACATTTGAAAATTTTTGGGACTCATGGACTCAGCAGCTCCTGAATTGCGGAGCTGAATTTAACATCTTTTCCTCGTTTGTGGGACTGCTTTAAATAGTGCTGTTGGGAAGATGCAAACGTCAGCTTTCTTTTCTAAGTGCGTATGTCTGGGCATGGAAAGTTCATATGATGAACCATTGTTGCATAGTCACTTCATGGTACAGGTTAACTGCAAGCTATCTTCTTTTCCCAGTTGGACTCTCCGTCACTCTGTATTAGAATATCTAGCCAAAATTCACCGAAGCCCACGATACTCGGATTAATAGATGGAGAAAAATGTAGTATGCGTACAGCAAAAACTTCTACCTTGGTAGAAGTTTTTGCTGAGGACAATTTCAATGCGGGGGCCATATCTCAAGTAACTAGTTCTTCTCTTTCTAGGTGAAACAATCTGGATCATATTTCATGTCATCTCTCTCTCTCTCTCTCTCTCTCTCTCTCTCTCTCTCTCTCTCTCTCTCTCTCTCTCTCTCTCTCTCTCTCTCTCTCTCTCTCTCTCTCTCTCTCTCTCTCTCAATGATTCGATTTGAGATCTTCTGTACAAATGTTAAGGACCGGATAATATAGATTTTTGTCCGATCGATTCAGATCGTTGTTTAAGAAAGTCCACTATCAACACTTGTTCCTTTTGTAGACAAAGCAGGGAGAAGAAAGTAGAAGTTGTGAATGTGTCGTAAGATACCACCTGCACATCCTTCATAGTATCATTTGTCTGTGTGTAACCAACTGAGGCTCAATAGAACAAGGTCAAATTTGTCGGTAATTCGTCACTTTCTAGATCGTGAAGCAGACGGTGATAATATTCTATTATGCGGTACCACATTATAATTGTGTTCGAGCATGACATTTTCAAGAGAATCTAAGTAATGCAGCGCTCGGGGATGTCCAGACCTAGCTTTCGACTGATTTTCAGAAAACAAAGTCTTGAGTTTACTGTCTGAAATTTCGTTCGAAGCGGCATCAGCCGAACATAGACATTCCGCGGAAGGAGTGTTTATGTTCGGCAGAGCAAATGCAATCGAGGCCGCAAAAGAAGCTTTGGACAAATGCAGCTGCGAAACTCTCTTACTGCTGTCGAGATGGTCGACAGCAGTTTTGAATGTCGTTGACCCTCATTACTATATATATATATATATATATATATATAACATTTGGGACACTCTTGTCTGTACATAGAGATAATACTGAATAAGTCAAGCCCTCGTTGCACATTTGCCGCTATTAGCGCACGGATTCCATGTGCATGGTTTAGGAATCCTATCAGTTTTTCTGCCATGGTATGGCCAATAATATGATCCTATTCCCTGGTCCACAAATTCTTCCCATGAAGTCAATCAATTGATCTTCACAATCATACAATCCTACACTAAAGCACTGAAAGAAAAATATGCTTGTTGACTTCCGTAAATAGAGATAGATTCAAAGTCAACCATTTTATTCTACTATACTGATATTGACATGGTATTTCAAAGAAGAGGATCCGTTGATGGCGTCAACGACGTTTACTTTTTTACTTCTTTAGCAATCAGTGTGATTGATATATTAGTCCCTTCCGATGAGAACTGAGAGCTCCGTATTTCGAGGAAAGTCTGGCCTTACTATGCGGCCATACCAAGCCCAGCTTGTAGCGTTTATATCCCCTAATTCTATGGAAGGGAGTCATATTCATATAAGACATACTAGATTCAGGTTAGTTACATTTCGCTCATAGTACCGAGTGAAGTAGAAAAGTCATGCTTCAATCTCCGACTGAAAAGTAAATGGATGAAAATAAACTACATATTATCGCCCTAAAGTTTAATGTAGGACAAAAAACCCAAAAAAGAAACAACCTTATGTGATACTAACATGTTTCACTCTAGGTTACTGGTTTTTTTTAGTACCAAATTCTTTAGTTGCACATCTTATAGATAACTCTTTTTCAAAACTTCTACAAAAGTATCTTGTGAGTTTGTGATATACTTCTTTCTGTTCTACTCAATCATCAGGTGGTTGCTATACGGCCCGAAAATCAAGATCTATGAACACGTACTACAATCACAACACCAAGATAATGTGGTTCGCATTCCACAAGCTTACTTCACCAAAGCTTAAATGTATACATGACCTCCATAGCCAAGCTTTCCTCCTTCCTGCTCACCCTCAAAGTGCAACTTTGATCTATACGCAGTGAAAGGCTACTTCTCTCTTCTATACATGAAGAAATAAGAAGCATATCTTAGTTAACCTAATCATAGTTAGCTTTCCTAACCATGGTTATTGCTAAATGGAGTTAACTAATATAAAGTTAAACTAACAAACTCTCCCTTAACTCAAGTCTTGGAGAGATAACTAATGCAATCCACATATATCTCTAGGAAGTTTTAGAAAGTAAAGCCAAATCACGCTTTTTCCTCTATAGTCTAGAGTTAACTAGAACTAAGTTGTAGCCGGCAAAAACTAGGTGAAGTTTACATGTATAACATGCAACTTTCTGCAATGCTTGGAAAAACTTTCCAATGAAATCACTTTGGTCAATGCGTTGGTAGCATTGAACTTAACATCAATGTTGATGAGCTTAAGCGCAATATTATACATCAATTGTCAGACATAATGATATCAGATGTCAATGTGCTTTATCCTACCATCCATCACATTTTTTGATGCTAGATTAAGTGGACTCTGGCTGTCAATGTAAAAATTCACATCACTATGTGGCAGTCCCATCTTAGTGGCCAACTTATTCAACTAGATAGACTCCTTTGATGCTTTTGCTGCTGCAACGTATTCAGCTTTTGTGGACGATTGAGAATTGCATTTATGAAATGTAAATCTTCAACTTATGCATCCATCAGCAAGAGTGAAAACATACCCAGTCGTTGATCTTAGCTTATCCAGATCTTCTCCATAATGAGCATCAACATACCCCAAGAGCAAACTTGCATTGATTGATCGTAGATCAAACAATAATCTAGTATCAAGAGAATCCTTGATATATCTCATTCTTCACTTCACAACATTTTAATGCTCTCGTTTGATATTTGACATGTACCTACTCACCTTCCCAACTACATATGCTATATCTAATGCGTACTGTTAGATACATAATGCTGTCAACTATACTTTCATAAGTAATAGAAGACATCAAACATTTTGCAGTTGCATTACTTAGACAAAAAGTTGCCAAAAGTTTAAAGTATGCAGCTAATGGAGTACTTACAACTTTAGCATTTTACATGTTGAACCTAGCAAGTATTTTCTTTGCATACCGCGTCTATATCAATCAAAGTTTGATTGATGTCTTGTCCTTGTGAATTTTCATGCCTAGAATATGCTTAGTAGGATCTAGATCTTTCAATTTAAACTTGGAACTAAGCTGGACTTGAGCTTAATAATATCATACTATCTTTAGTAGCAATAAGCATGTCATCTACATACAGTACGGATAATATGTAGTCAAAACTTTTGTTGCTAATACGCCTCATGTACACACAAGGATCAAATGCATTTTGTATGAAGCCATGCAAATGCATGAACTCATCAAAACGTTTGTTCCATTTTTTGAGACTTTGCTTAAGTCCATAAAAGGATTTAAGCAACCGAAAAACCAAACGTTGCTTTTCTCACTCAAAAGAATCCTCCAATTGTCTCATCTAAATCACTTAGTCCAACATTCTATGCAAAACATGGCAAGACTGCCAAAGTGGAACATCCAAGTAAGATACACTGCTGCTGCAAAGCTCATAACCTCCTCCACGTCCTCATAGACTAACAACTTGTCAGTCGACATGTTGCCCTCCAACAAGTCATTGGGCCATGTAAGCAATCTGCTAAAACCGCAACGGATGCTAAGATCGTAGGAGAAGATTAAAGCACTTGAGCTTCAAAAGTATACCTCACAAGCAGCTCGCTCATGCGTTCATCACCAAACTGCCAACCATGAGTGTAGGCTACTAGCTGTCTTTGTCCAATAGTTCATCTGAAAATCCATCGGATACAAGACTATTCCACCAACAAATAGATCATATGACTTTGCAAATGCAATCACAGCACAAATTCCAAACCGTGAACTATCACGTGCATGATCATGCCTCATGTGCACCGATATGCTCTACTTGGTCATAAAATAAAACGTTTTGTTGGCACTAGCAAGTGATGTCTGAATCTTGAATGAACAATGTTGCAACTTCAAACTTCCAAACTAACGCATCTTGCCTAGCCCAACATCAAGGGTTGTGCACCAGAGTCAAACAAAACTCTGACTTGGACATACATTTGTCATGTAGAACTCTCTAAGAAAAAAAAACCACTTCAATTGTCCACGATACATACATTGGGAACAATTCTCTTCCAATCAATGGCTGGCCGGGCTAGTATTGACTTCATCCTTGCCGATACTACCTACCAAGTTGTCTTGTTCTTTAATGTAGACCTTGAGAATTGCTCCACAGCAAAACCCTTGCATATCTCTGCACTTGTAGCAGTGACACTCCCACATTCACACAACGTGGCTACTACATGAAATACATGAGCCAAATCTACCCCAGACAACATCAACTCTATGGTTGAAAACAATGAAGATTCCATCACTGAAGTAGACATTCCCAAAACTGCATTAGGGGTGTCTCTGTGCTCACAACATGTGATATACATGCCTTAGTCCTCACTACATGATAATTAGTTGGTGTAGTAATCATGGATGAAGTTCTGCCCATCTCTGACAATAAAAATGGATGGGGAAATCTAGCTTGTGTTTCATCCTCGTTTTTTTGGGCATTCAACTCCACTGTCGCACCGCTTGAATTAGAAGCACAAGTTACATCTCTCGTCATTACAACCGCTGCCTCATCGGTGCCACATTCGCCAAATAGGAAAAATCTTCTCATGCATGATAGATGGAAGCTTCTGCTTCAATGTCAATCATAGCAGCAAGCTTCTACTTCAACCACTCAATCCAAGTAGCCATAACGGTCTCTGTGGTAGGAAGTGCAACCACTACGGATCTCTCAATTGCACCAGC